TCTATCTATCTATCTATCTATCTATCNCCAAGGTCATCCTTTGTCACTGCACCTCTGCACCTGACTGGAATTGGATGGGTGGAAGCTGCCAGCATGGCAGTGGAATATTGGACCATGTGATGGACTTATGGGTGTGGGGGAAAGATCTTGAACTTTCAACTGGGTGGGGGAAACCAGGAAGCTTTCAGATTCGGGTTTTCCCAAATGTGCCTTCGTGGCTCTCTTAATAAATTGGAACTTTGAGGAATCCTTTGCCTCGGACTCTGATTTAATTTCGGATGCTATTTGGAACCCTAAGTATTCTATGACCTGATAAATCTATGATTCTGTGATTTGTACTTCTGCGATTCTATCATTTTGTGATTTTTACGGTTCGGTGATTCTGTAATTTTATGCTCCTCTGATTCTGGAATTTTTATGCCTCTGTGATTCTATCAATTTATGGATTCACGGTTCTATTTTTATTTATTTTTCTGCCTGGCTTTGTAATTCCTATAAATAACTCAAGGCAGCAAACAGGCTCCTTCCTCTTCCTATTTTTCCCTAGAAAAACAACACTGTGAGGTGGGTGTTCACCCCAAATTGTATAGCTAAAAGTGTGTAAAACCCTGAGGACACAGATAAACCTCCAGGTGGCCTCAAGGACTCTCTAAAAAGGATGCAAATGACCAGCTGCCTGCAAGGAGGATAAATCCTTCCGTTCCCCACCATCCAGTCAGAACTGAAGAAGCTTCTTGGATGAGAAATGAAATGTCTTCAAAGAAAAACAAGTTGCCTCTTGAAAAAGCACCTTTGGGACAACCATGACCTGGTTGATGGGAAATCTCCATGGCTAGTCAGTCAGTCTGTCCGTCTGTCAGCCAGCCAGTCAGTCAGTCAATCAAAGACTGATCCCGAATCAAAAACCTGCAGGACACCCCAGGTCTGGAGAAGTCAACACACCGTCCAGTGGTGGGTTTCAAAAAAATTTTGGAACCTACTCTGTGGGTGTGGCCTCCTTTGTGGGAGTGGCTTGCCGGCCATGTGTGCGCGTGGGAGTGTGTGGCGGGGCATGTGTTCTCCCTCTCTCTCTCTCTCTCTCTCTCTCTCTCTCTC